ATCTTGAGTCCTTGGGAAGGTCAAAGGAGCTTACATAAGATCTTTGTGCAATTCTAGATTTTTAACAGAATTATAGGAATTTAAAATTTAAACATTGTTTGGCACAGATTTCTTAATTTCAGACTAACTGTATAATTAGGTCATAAATACATATGTGATTCCCTCCTAAAGACTGATGTTCATGGCACTGTCACAGCTCAGATGAAATGTTATCACACATGGGGAAAACCATTTTCTTCACTGGAGCTAAAAACTTAATTCAAAAGCAGAGAAAATTATATACTATACCAAGATCTTGATGTGGTCCACTTTCTTTAAACTTTCTTGCAACCGCTGACTCTACAAATAACAACACAAAAGTATAAAACCTTACTGGACTGACATTGTATTAGCAGGTTTCACAAGGATCTTTGCAAAACACAAATAAGCACATCAGACAGAGAAAGGCGTCTGCAACTTGGTGATTACTAAGTTTGAGTCCCAATTTTTACAACTCTACATTTGCAGATATTTTTCAGTCTTTCACATGTAGGGCTAGCAAGTGAAGGCACACAGCGTGACAAGTCATGAGGATGGATAAAACTGCCATTTCTATATAGTCACAATCAATTCATCACTGACAGGAGAATCACTATAGTCCCTAACTCATCAAGTAGAGAAACATGAATTCAGCAGATATTTATTGAGTATTGGATGTTGCAAAACCACTAAAGGAACCCCACTTGAAATGTGTTCTATCAGTGAAATCTACAATCCAGTGAAACTGTGGGTATCATATGAAATCATACAAAGTGCTTCATGATGTTTGGCACTGAAGAGTTGCTCAACATCTGCCACACACAAAGAAAGAGGAGATGAGGAGGAGAGGGGACTCACAGAGATGCTTTTCCTTACTGGGAATGCACGACACAGTATGGACTATGAGACATGAGCATGCAGACAGCACACCTGCCAACGCCCCACACTTTCATAGCTGCTCTGGGGTGGTGAGTCAACAGCAGGTTCTCATTCAAACCCTCAAGAACACTGGAGATTAGCTACAGGCCTGGGTAGTAGTAGACAGGTGTCAGAGCTGCAGTAACTTCAAGGGCTTGGGAGTTAATGTCATCATTATTTTCCTGCACTCCTAAAACCAAGGAGATCTGAACTTTTCCCTTGAGTGCTCAAACCTCCCTCTAATTTGACTAAGTTGCTACGGTAATAAGGGCTTCTATTTCCTAAGAACCAAATCATGATATGAGCTAACAGCAAAATGAAAACACTTAAAAAATGCTTTTTATAAACAAAACGTTAAAATTAATTTGTAATGTAAAAAGGAATTAACCTATAAACTAAAGAACAAAATAATTTTTCTTAAGCATAAAAATGACAGGAGAAAGTGCTAATATCCTGGGTTGTGGGGAGAAACAGTGGAGTATTTGTTTGGGGTACTGAGACTGAACCCAGAGCCTTGCACATACCAAGTGTGTGCTCTACCACTGACCTACGACAATAACCCAAGAATATATTTAAAACAAAAGATTTAAACTTTCATGAATAATTTATGTGATCAGGCACTACTTAATAGTTTAACATACACTAATTTAGTAAGTCCTTATAAATAAATTATCTTATATCACAGGTGAGAAAAAAGTGTCAAAAGATGACAGCATGCTTTTAAACTGACACAGGAATCAATGCTTACACCACAGAAACATGACTGTGTTTCCCCTTTTTAAGATAGCTTCTCATGTAATCCAGGATGTCCTCAGACTCACGATGTAGTGAGGCTGGTCTTGAACTCCTTCCTAATCTTCCTGCCCACATCTCAGGAAAGCTGGGATTACAGTCATGCATGATCATATTCAAACCCAATCTCTTTTTCCTGCTGTCAAAGTTGGCTTAATCTTCCTGCCTCTGCCTGCTTCTTAAGTGTTTGGAAAAAAAGTCTGAGCTACCACACCTATCTTGACTTTTTGGTTTTTTAAAGGGTAAGGTTTTCAAAATATGTGTTTGTCCAAAATTGCTACACTGAAACCCAATATCCTAAACAATGATATTAACAGGTTCAGCGGTTGAAAGTGATAGTGCATGACTCAACCATCATGCACTAAAAAGGATTCACTAAAAAACAATTTGTGAACACGCTTATAAAAAGAGGACATGTAGTGGGGGTGCACACCTTTAATCCCAGCACTGGGGAGGGAAAGGCAGGTGGATCTCTGGGATTTCAAGGCCAGCCTGGTCTACAAAGTGAGTTGCAGGGCAGCCATAGCTGTTACCAGAGAATCCCTGTCTTGAACAAAACAAAACAAAACAAAAAACAAAATGAATGAGCAAACATAAAGGAAGGGCATGCTTTCCCTGTTCCCAGGTGAGAACACACAGATGCTGCCATCTAAAGCCTCACCAGGCACTGATCTGCTGACATATTAACCTCAGATTTGAGCATCTACAAATATAAGTAACATGTATTTTGCTACTCACAAATTATGCAGTCCAAAGTATTTTGTTACAGAAGCCAAACAGATGACATTAACCTATAACAGAATTTATGCTTTTCATAATCAGACTACCTCTAATACAAAGAGATATTTATCCCTAGAACCTTACAAATAGGAAACCCAAGCTACTGTATCAAAAATACCCATATCTGGGAGCTGGAAAGACGACTCTACAGTTAAGAACAGTGACTACTCTCCCAGAGGACCCAGGTTCAAATCCCAGTACCCAAGTGATGGCTCACAACCATAAATTCCAGTTTCAGGGGATCCAATGCCCTTTTCTGGCTTCAGGGCACTAGACATGCACATGGTACACAGACACACATGCAGGTAAAACAATCATACACATAAAATAAAATAAATCTTTAAAAAATATCCATGCCCTCTAACAGAGTTTAGAGTTATTGAAACTGAGAGCTGCTGGGAGACAGAGTCCCCGTTCTTTAAGGTGTGGCTGTGGTATATCTAACACACTCCATCAGTGCTACACACAAGAGTAGAGTGGTGCTACTAATGGGACCTGATAGGTCATAAAAAAACAAAAGCAGACAAAGTAAGGTGGATATGGAATGGAATGGAATTTGCAAGAGTTGGGGGAGAGGAGTGAAAATACAATACATGAAATTCTAAAACCACTAATAAAAATACATATAAAAAAACCCATGCCACTTACACTGGATTTTCTTTTTCCTCTATTCTTTCTTCTTCTTCTTTTTTTTAATCCTTTTATTTTGAGACAATGCTCTCTATGTAGTCTTGGCTATCCTGGAACTTGTTATTTAGGTTCAGACTGGCCTGAAACTCGGGAGATCCCTTTACTTCTGCATCCCCAAATGCTGGGATTAAAGGTGTGGGCCACCATACCAGACCTCTATATTTAATTTTTAATTTTTATATTTCTTCTCCCTGGAAGGCTAGTCAGCCAAGTGCAATATTTATGTACCTTCCCTTTCCCTGGAAGTCATCTTGTGACTTTTCTCATTTCAGAGTGACACCGGTATAGTCATGTGGAAATATTGTTGGGCCAATGCCACCAGTTCCTCCCAGAACTCCTAAGAAACATACATATATGTAAGAGGCACTTGGTGTGCTTGCTGATGAGATAGTACACCAAAGTGACAAGGTCCTGGACAAAGACTTCCCGTCTCTGTACCTCCTCCAGGGCTCACATGTGTACTCACCAGCTGGCAGGCATGCTTTATTCTTTCCACAATGCCGTCAAGTCCCAAGTATTGTAAAGACAACCACAGCGGCAAGGCTCGGAGTTTGTCTGCAGGCTTATTTGATGTAAGACCAGCAACTAGTGTCTAAAAAAGACAAGACAGGCGCACTGACCAGGGCTGCTGGAATGTCAGCACTGACTAGCAACGCTGCACTACACACTTGGAAGGTATCAAATGCTAAGCTGGAGTCTTGGCTTGCATTATCCATTTGGCCTTTCAACAGCCAGTGCCCTATGTGAGCTTAGCTTAGAGACCCAGCTGCGCTCAAGGATTCACAAGTGAAGAGAGGCAGAGCTACTCCAGGTGAGAATCCAGATGGGGTATGCTCTAGAGCCACAGTTCTTAGCCATTTCGGAAGAAGTCTCTTGACAGGCTACTATTAGCATCCTTGAAATTGTTGGTCATTGTCAACTAAGCAAGATATCAACTGAATAAGTAGCAATCATTAAACATTTACTTTGTATGCACCTATTAACACATCTACAAAACAAACAGTCTAGGGTTTAAACCAAAATATTATGTTTTAACCTGTAATGGAAAATGTGGGTCAAGGGTCTTAAATGGTGATCCTACTTTTGGGAATCTCATCTCTGGAAATAATTTAATATGTAAAAGGATGTTCATTGATTGTCTTATTAACAAAAACTTGGTAATGTCTTAAAAGCTCACAAATGACCATTACTAAGTAAATTGTGATCAAGCAACAGAAAGAAAATCATAGTCATAAAATACCACACACAAAAAATAATCTTTCATATACATAAGGAAATACAGGACATAACTGAAAATATTTAAAGTATGGCTTCCTGAACTAATGAGTGATCTAATTAGTGAACTAATGTGAGTCTGATCACTGGAACCCATTAAAAGCGGAGGGAGAGACTTTCACAAAGTCATCCTCTGACCTCTATGTGTGTGTTGCAGTATGTGGACTCCCCACCACCACCCCCAAATGATTTAAAAAAAAAAAAAAAGCATGGACTCATGTTTTTTTCTTAACACAGAGCCTATGTATCCCAGATTGGCCTTGAACTGACCCTCTTAGGTCTAGCTCCCAAGTGCTCTACCACACTATTTTATGTGGTGCTGAGGATGGAATCCAGGGCTTCAAGTACGCTAGGCAAACAGTCTACCAACTCTGAGCTCTGGTGTAGGAGTTCCTTCTGTTTGTGTGTTGCTTTCATTGGTTAATGAATAAAGAAACTGCCTTGGCCTAGTTGATAGGGTGGAACTTAGGTAGGCGGAGAAAACAAAACTGAATGCTGGGAGGAAGAAAACAGAGTCACGGAGAAGCCATGGATCCTCTGCCTGAGATGGACGCTGGTTAGAATCTCTGGTAAGCCACTGCCACATGTCAATACACAGATTAACGGAGATGGGTTAAACTAATATGTAAGAGATAGTCAATAAGAAGTTAGAGTTAATGGCCAAGCAGTGTTTTAATTAATACAGCTTCTGTGTGGTTATTTCAGGTGTAAGCTAACTGGGTGGCCGGGACAAGCAAGCAGGCCTCCTCCTTACAATAGAGCTCCAGCAACTTTTTGTTTTTGAGACAGGGTCTCACTATATAGCCTAAGCTATTCTAGAACTTGCTTTGTAGCCCAAGACAGCCTTAAATTTGAGATTTTATTGCCTTTTCTGAGTACTGGGATTACAGGTATGTGCCACTATGACTACTTTAAAAAAATGGTACTGGAGGGGATCAGCAAGGTACAATACACATGCATGAAAATACCATAATGAAACCCATTATTTTGTACATTTGCCAAAAAAAAAATATAAAAAGGTAACAGAAGCCGGGTGGTGTTGGCGCACACCTTTAATCCCAGCACTAGGGAGGCAGAGGCAGGTGGATCTCTATGAGTTCAAGGTCAGCCTGGTCTACAAGAGCTAGTTCCAGGACAGGCTCCAAAGCTACAGAGAAACCCTGTCTGGAAAAGAAAAAACTACATTTCTCTATAATCTATCCCAGAAGGCAATTATGAATAGCATTCATTCGTAGTGACAGACAGTCACTCACCAAGGCAGGATCATCATGTTTGTAGAGTGTCACTGCAGGAACGGCTGGCAAACCTAGCCACGGGCCAGGAGTCAGTGTCATGCTATCACATTTGGTTGCGGCCTACCAAGAAGAGAGGTTTGTTCATTAGGTAACCAGAGGACATGAAAACACTGTCCCTCCTGTAGTTGTGAAAACTATGGAAATCCACCAGAGACTGAACAGACTAAGCTCCTTCTTATCACCACCAATATTCACCAATATTCAATAAACCAACAACATACCAGCACAGATGAGGAGACATAACCTAGAGCCAATGTTGCCAGATTCACGCTGTAAGAAAAAGCACCAGTCTAAGAACAAATTAGTTAATGTTACTTATTTCCTAAGCAGGTACTCTACAAGAGAAGGAACCAACTGTGCTGTCATAAGGCAATATGAGACCATCTCCACCTGTGTCTTTTGTTTCATTTGCATTCATTAAAGCAAAAGATGGGAACTACAAATTCTAACGTTTCAAAATACACTTTTAATAGGAACATGCTTCAGGGGCTATCTCTGCTTATTTAGGACGATGCACACACTATTCTATATCTTCTATGGCCACTCTTCCTCAGTCACTGTTCTCTTTGTAGAGGTGAGGTAAAAGGATCCTTATCTTAGACAGTGTAGTGACATGGAAATCTGGCTGCCCTGCACCTGCTCCTTCTCTCCCTGAAGACACCCTGGGCCCTTCTGTCAAATCACCCTATCACCTTTACCAAACTATGAGCTCAGGTGGAGTCACTTACCTACTTTAGATGTGTTCAAAACACATCAACTATCAGAGGAACTCATGGAACATGAAGTTGGAAAGGTGGTTAGGATTTCTGCAGTTACTTTTTACCATAATAGGAAATGTCTCTCCATGAGCCAAAATATAGGAAATAAAGTCAAGTGAAGTGGAGAGGAGTGTATGGAATTCTGGCTGACACGATGCTTGGCGCCAGTCCTAATACAGGTCTTTTCAGATGTACAAAGCTCAGATGTACAAAGCAATAAAATCTCCTTTTCATTTAGTCAGTTTTGGTAATTTTGTCATTTGTAATCTAAGCCTTTAATGATAAATATCATTGGTCTGGGTGTCCACTCTCCATGAAGACCAACATGGAATTGACCTTACCAATACTTACCCTTCAACATGAAGCCAGATGTCATACTGCTCACAGAGCTCCTTCAGACGTCCAATCTTGTCTGTGTGTCCAACTCCTGCCGATCCTGTAAAATACACAGGAGCACTAAAAAGCAGACCAGTGCCTTCTGACTCCTCACAGCACTGCACCCCGACCTTGAAATCTTCCTTGTGGAATAACTTCAAATTAACATTTGTGAGTTGGTTGGTGTAGGTTTTGAAAAATGTGCCTCCTTCTTTGTAAGTATTTAATTTTAAACTGAAGTTATGCATGGTCCTTTTCAATCACTAGACTTGCTAAGTCATGGGAAACTGCCAAGTCTGCCATCAAGACTGTGGAACTGCCAATTTATGCCTACATTCTATCAGCATTCTCTTTAGAAACTTCAAAGCTCTGTCCATAAGTGCTACTTTCTTTTTCAGAATACATCTTGTCAGTGTGAATTATTTTACACTTACTATTCTAGGTAGACTACTTTTGTTGACATTTGTTCAAGATATCCTTTCTCACTGATTTATCTCCACATCCTGAGTTATTTTGATTTAGGTGTCTCTTTTATAAAAATGTAACATGAGTCTGGATTTTTATCACACAGGTTAGGTTCTTTGTTATTATAAAAGATACATTTTGTAAACTACTTAAACATAAATCAAAGATTTGGAGCTCATTTCTCAGTAATTTGCTCTATAGACTTTACTGAGCACACTCCTTTTCAGACAGAACTTAAGTAAAACATGCAGTCATGTATTCCTCAAATGTCCTGAATTTTCAGTTAATAAAAGCCCAACTAGTAAGAACTTCCTCACCATGGTCTTAACAAACCCATCTTTTTAAAAAGAGGTAATGTAGGCTGGCAGTGTAGCTTATTTGGTAGAGTGTTTGCTTAGCATACGGAGAATTGTATAACAGCTCCCTAGCACTATATAAAGTAGGCACAGTGGCACATGCTTATAATCCTAGCACTAAGACCAAAAGTTAAGGGTCATCCTTGGCTACCAGAGTTAAAGGCCAGCATGAGATACGTGGTTTTTGTATCTGAAAAAGGGGTTGGAAAACTAGGAAGATGGTCAAGTAAAGTGCCTGTCCCACAGCATGAAGACCTGACTTCAATCCCAGAACTCACGTTTTTAAAAGACCACACATGATGGCAGCACATCCCAGTGGGAGGCAGAGATAGGCAGATACTTGGGTCCTGATGGCCAGGCAGCCTAGAATTACCTGAAGCTACAGGCCAGTGAAAGACCCTTTCTAAACAAAGATTGTGCACACCACACACACACTAACACAAACTCCCCCCTTCCAGGGTCTTACTATGCAACCCTGTCCAGAGCTCAGTATCAGGTTGGCCTCAAACTCACACAGTGCTGGGATCAAAGGTGTGTGACACTATTTGACATGTCCCAAACTTAAGAAATAAATACCTTTTATTTATTCTTCAAAATTTGGTTCTGTTTTTTGAGACAGGGTCTCTGTACACCAGGCATTGCTATGTACTTGCTATGTATACCAGGCCTCCAGTACCAGGATTACTGTCATGTATACCACACATTTAGGTTACTAAATTAAACACTTGACTGTAATATTTCTATTCAGATGCAAGTACAGAGCTGTGTTTAGTGACCGGGTCACTCTCAGAGTACTTTCATATTTTTGGTATTGTCTGTTTTGGGGGCATGTATTCAGGGGAGAAATGGGTCACAATGGGAGGTCACCTAGTCACATGTTAATACAATCTTAGTCTATAAAGTGACTGAATATGAGTCAATTTGTGCTTCTTTTTATTTTTTTAAAGATTTATTTATTTATTATGTATACAGTGTTCTGTCTGTCTGTATGCTTGCTGGCCAGAAGAGAGCACCAGATCTCATTACAGATGGCTGTGAGCCACCATGTGGTTGCTGGGAATTGAACTCAGGACCCTGGAAGAGCAGTCAGTGCTCTTAACCTCTGAGTCATCTCTCCAGCCCCCCTGTGCTTCTCTTTAAATATATAGTAAGGTGAGTCAGGCAGGAAGCAACAGTTTTCCAATGGCAATAAGGTGGATATTTAAGTGTTTTTTTTTGTAGGAGTCTCGATTAAAACATAATTCATCTGAAATAAGCCCATTATCATAAATGCATAGTTCAGCCAGGCAGTGGTGGCATCTTTAATCCCAGCACTCAGGAGGCAGAGGCAGACGGATAACTATGAGTTCAAGGCCAGCGTGGTCTACAGAGCAGAGCAAGTTCTAGGACAGCTAAGGCTGTTACACAGAGAAACCCTCTCAAAAAACAAAAACAAAAACAAAACAAAACAAAAAAGGAAAGTATAGCTCAGTGAAAACTGATTAATGTGTAACTAAGTCCCAATCAATACTATTTCTCTTACCTTAAAAGTCCCTTCCTCATTGTAGCCACTCTCCTTCTAACTCACGACCCAGGAACCCTGACTTGTTCCTGCCACTCAAGTCTTCTTTCCTAAGGTGTCCAATCAATGCATACTGCATGCAACACTTTGTGCATCAGCATGCCTTTGAAACTCTTCCACACCGCAGTACACATCAACACTTCATACTTACTGATTAGTGTTTTACTATAGGCATAGGCCCTGATTTGCTCATCTACTCACCATGTGAAAAACTTTCAAGTTATCTTGTTAACGAGCAAACACATGCATAGACATTTTTGTGTGTGGAGATCATTTCATTTCTCTTTAATAAACCACAGTAGTGGGATGAGTGAATTACAGGGATTTGCATTTGGCTCTCTGAGAAATAACTCAAGGGATTTACAGAATGGCTGCAATATTTTATATTTCAATGTTGTGTAACAGTCTCTTCTCTTCTATCCTTCAGAGAAGCTCCTTAAGCAAAAAGGTAAACCACTCAAAAGAGCGTCGGGGAAATCCCTGAAACTGACATGATTCACTAGGCCCTTCCCTGCCAGAGTAAGCATTTAAAGTTGAGAATGACCTCTCCTTGGACCTGGAAACCTCTCTAGAGTCAAGTCTCCTGAAAACCCTAAAATGGCTCCTTTGATTAAGATATTTACTTCCCTGCTCCCATATCCACCCTTCCTCCATCACACCCATCCCATTCCAAGCTCTCTCCATTCTCCCCTTCTCCCTTCTCTCTACCCATCTCCCTTTACATCCACCCCCTCACACCCCGTGCACCCAAGTTTTGCCTGGCAATCTTGTCTACTTCCAATATCCAGGAGGATAACTATAGGTCCAAGGAGAGGTCCCCAGATTGTTCCTTGGGCAGCAGAGGAGAGGGTGCCTGAACTGGCCTTGTCCCATAGTCACACTGATGAATATCTTGCATATCACCATAGAACCTTCATCTGGCGATGGATGGAGATAGAGACAGAGACCCACACTGGAGCACTGGACTGAGCTCCCAAGGTCCAAATGAGGAGCAGAAGGAGGGAGAACATGAGCAAGGAAGTCAGGACCACGAGGGGTGCATCCACCCACTGAGACGGTGGGACTCACCAAGGCAAGCTGGACTGGGAATGATGGAGCATGTGATCAAACTGGACACTCTGAATGTGGCTGGCAATGAAGGCTGACTGAGAAGCCAAGGACAATGGCACTGGGTTTTGATTCTACTGCATGGACTGACTTTGTGGGAGCCTCGTTTGTTTGGATGCTCACCTTCCTAGACCTGGATGGAGGGGGGAGGACCTTGGACTTCCCACGGGGCAGGGAACCCTGACTGCTCTTAGGACTTGGGAGGAAGGGGAAGGTGGGGAGGGGGAGGGAAAAGGGAGGCAGGGAGGAGGTGGAAAATTTTAATAAATAAATAAATTAATTAATTAAAAATAAAAGTCCAGTAGAATTCTGTGCTAAAAGAAACATACAAACAAAGTTGAGAGTGTCTCTCAGAAAAGCAGAGCCAAACTGCAAAAGAAGACTCAGGCAAGTAAAACAGCAAAGATGTCTCTACCACAAGCCACCTGGAAGAGGTTTAGCTCAGCTGGGGCTCCTGTAAAGGACAGACCTGTGATGATTCACATTACAGAAACCAAAAAGCAACACATGCTTCTAACATGTAAGTCCCTAACTTGTATAGCAGCCCATATCATTTTCCCCCACAGACATTGAAGACTATTCTTAAATTTACTGACCTTGTAAAATTTGCTGTTCTTGCAAAATAACAGGCCTTAAGGCTAACTGCTATTTCTGTTTTTGTAATCAAATCAACTTGTTCATTCTACTCAAAAGGAGGACAACAGCAAGACATATATGTTAAAATAAGACCCTGCCTATACATAGGCAGAATACATGTAATCTTGTGAGGGTTGTCTTCATAAACCCTGAGCTGATATGGATAGCTGCTGCGTCGGAAGTGCACTCTTGGTTGAAGCCCTGGTGCTATGATCATCTAGCACCAGTATTTTTTTTTTTTTCGCTTTGTTTTGCTTGCTTTTGGTTTTTTGAAACAGGGTTTCTCTGTGTAGCCTTGTTATCCTGGGACTCAAATTATAGACAAAGCTAGTCTTCAACTCAGAGATCCACCTGCCTCTGCCTCCCAAGTGCTGGGACTGAGTGCACCACCACCATGCCTCAGCACCTTTAGAAAAGCCTCTTCTTATTAAAATTGATCGATGGTCACTGTGAATCTGAGTGACCCCAGATCCATAACCTGTTGAACTGTTTGCAGGCTGTGCAGTGTGTTCTAAGTTCCTAGCTTTGTGAGCTGTTATCCATGCTGGGATGGGCTTTGGTGATGGAGCCATCTTTGAATCATTTCTGCCCCTGTCACTAACCCTAATCAGTTTGGACTTTGATGATTCCTGTACCTTGATCTGTAGTGGGATCCTTATCTGGGGTGAGTAGACATGTGTGTTTTGTCTCCCCAGGAAAACTTTTGTCACATACCCTACCAGGAATGTATGTAGCTGCTTGATCCTTATCAGCATTAGGCACTTTCTGCCCCAGCAGTGGGTCTGAGCCAGGATCTTAGGCATAGCAGACAAACATTCCATTACATCTCAAGCTCTCACATGGTTTTACTTAATAAAGACTGTCTAGCCCTGAACTCAATATACAATCTTGAACTTCAAACTGTTTGCCTATACCTCCAGAATGCTGAAATTACAGCACATGCCACCCACATTTGGTTCACTTATACCTAAGGATCAAACCCAGGGCTTTGAACACACTAACAAGCACTCTACAACTCACTGAACTACACTCCAGACCTTACTGTGGTTTCTCCATTTAGTCCAGACTGACCCTGACTTTTGATCTTCACGTATTAGCCTCTGAAGTGCTGGGATTACAAACTAAGATCTAAGTGTGTACCAACATATGCAGCTGAACTGTATTATTTTAATGCTAGTGATATCAAACATCTTTTCAAGTATTTATATGCCCTTTGGTAAAGTATCCATCCAAATGCAGTTCATTTTAAAGCTGTCTCTCACCTTATTGCAATGGGGCCCCGACCTTAGCACAACTGACTCCATGATGAATGTGCCATTCAGACAGTAAAACACAGCATGTAGATAGTACCAACTGCCAAAACTAGAACAAAGACCTAACCCATCAAAGTCCATATAGTTCTGGGAAAGTCTCTAAATGTACAAACCTTGCTTTTTTAGCTTCTATAGTTTTGCTTCCGGTTAACTGTTCTTTTAACTAAAATAGGCTAATCCAGAACATGATTTTTATGCTTAAAGGCTCATCCCAATAAAAGTGAGAAAGGTGAGCTATACTAGGATCCTGAACATCCAGTGTAGTTTCTGGTTGGCTAATTAAGACTTTCTATTGGCTTAAACCCATGACCTAGCAGTCTTCTCTGGTGAATACCCTACAATAAGCACTACTGAACTGCAACATAACTTTACATATTTTAGATATAAGTCATTTGCCCAAAAAAAGTGTTTTGAAATACTTCTTCCAGCCTACCACTTGCTTTTCATTTCTTCTTTGTTTGTGTTTTGTTTTTGTTTTTCAAGACAAGGTTTCTCTGTGAAACAGCCTTGGGTGTTCTGCAACTCACTTTGTAAACAGGTTGGCCTGGAACTCAAAGAGATCTGCCCATCTCTGCCTTCTGAGTGTAGTGCTGGGATTAAAGGTGTGAGGTTCCATGCTGCTTTTCATTTCTTTTTTTTTTTTTTTTTTTTGATTTTTCGAGACAGGGTTTCTCTGTAGTTTTTGGTGCCTGTCCTGGAACTAGCTCTTGTAGACCAGGCTGGCCTCGAACTCACAGGGATTCGCCTGCCTCTGCCTCCCGAGTGCTGGGATTAAAGGCGTGCGCCACCACCGCCCGGCTGCTTTTCATTTCTTAATAGGGCCTTTTATTTTTGTTTGTTTGAGACGGAGTCTATTATGTAGCTATAGCTTGCTATGCAAACCAGGCCAGCCTTAAACACCTCTAGTGTTGGAATTAAAGTCATATACCACCATAACAGCGCCAAAGGTCTTCTCAAACAACAAAAGCTTCTTGTTGCTGGGGACTGGTTCTGGGGCCTTGTACTTGCCTAGCACAAGCTGTACTAAATGGTATCCCAAATCAAGTTTTTATTATTTTTTTTTGGTTTTGTATGTTTTGAGGTCAGACCTTGCCATGCAGCCTTGGCTGTCCTGGAACTTGATATGCAGAGATTGTGAAAAGGCTTTTTTTTAGGGAGAAATGACTTAGAGACACAGTCTATAGTACATTTGAGCTTTCTTAAACTTCTTTCAGAAATATGCTATACTTTTAAGTGCACAGATATTACACATATTTTTAAAATTTACTCATGAATTTTCTTAAAAATTTTTATTAGCCGGGCTGGAGAGATGGCTCAGAGGTTAAGAGCACTGGTTGTTCTTCCAGAGGACCTGGGTTCAATTCCCAGCACCCACATGACAGCGAACAACTGTCTGTAACTTCAGTTTCTGGGGATCTGATACCTTCACACCAATCCACACAAAATAAAGTTAAATTAAAAAAAATTTATTAGCCTTTGTATAAACATGTGAGATGTGGGGGGGGGGGCATACACATTCCATGGTACGTATGTGGAAGCCAGAGGATAACTTTGTGGAGTTGGTCCTCTCTTTCTACCTTTCTGTGAGTTTAGGGAATTATCAGGTATACTGGCTTTGTGGGTCAACTTGACACATGTTAGAGTCATCAGAGGAAGGAGCCTCACTTGAGGAAATGCCTTAATGATATCCAGCAGCAGGGCATTTTCTCAATTAGTGATCAATGGACGAGGGCTCAGCCCATGCTGGGGGGGCCATCCTTGCACTGCTAGTCCTGTTGGACTAGAAGTCCAAACATCAGGGAGGAGTTGCTCCAGACACCACTCACACAACCACAATTGATGCAAAACAAGAGGATTTTTATTCTGTCGTGACAGGGCCCTTCAGGTTCGGGATATGAAGGACCTCCGATAGCTGTTACATTCCATCTTTTAAAACAAAAGCCACAGACACAAGGGGGGAACCTGAAGATTGTTTTCCAACTTACTGGATTGGCTTATTTAAAAGGTCACTAGCAGTGATTGGTCTATTCCAGGGCAGGAGAACAGCTGCGTGGTCAGGTGAGATAAGGGGAGCATCTGTGGCCTTCCTGACCTTGTTCTAGTGACTAAATCAATACATCAGGAACTGAGTCAACATCTGTGGGTTGTCTTTGCCTCAATTCCCAGAATGGAGTTATGTTTGAAGATTATTCACAGGGACACAGGAGGATGAGCAGTCCAGCATGTGTGTGTGGGTGACTGTCCAGTTTCCAAATGCTAAGAGGCTTTAGAAAATGTCTTTAGAGCTGAGAGGCCTCAGAAATGCATTTAGAGTCTTTCAGTCCTGGGTTCTATAAGAAGGCGAACTGAATAAACCATAGGATGCCAGCCGGTAAGCAGCTCCCTCCATGGCTTCCGCATAAGATCCTGTATCCAGGTTCCTGCCCTGACTTCCTTCAGCGATGAAGGAAGTAATGCTGAAGTATAAGCCAAATAAACCCTTTCTTCCCCAACTTGACTTTTGGTCACGGTATTCTGTTACAGCAATAGAAGCCCTAACTAAGACATCAGGTATACATCGCCAGGCTGTAAGCATCTTTCCCTGCTAAGCCATATTGCTGCCCCATTTTTATGCTTTTTAATGCTATTATAAAAGACATTTTAAATTCAATTTCTTATTTATTACATTTATTTTGTGTGTATGTGTAGACACACATGTCACAGAGTGTAATGAAGTCAGAGAACAACTTACAGGGCTTTGTTCTTTCACCATGAGGTGAAACTCAGGTTATTTGATTTGGTGGCAAGCATCTTTAACAACTGAGCCATCTTTTTGGCCTTAAATTCAATTTCTAATTGTTTATTGCTAAATAGAAATCTAGAAACCTTATTAGGTTCATGAATCAGTTCCAGGAGTTTTT